TAGAAGACAGTTAGTAGAATAGAGACTGATCTGACCTCATTTCCCAATTTTTTTTCCATAGACATTCTAAACTTAGCCTATAATCCCATTTTTTCCCACTGCCCATAGGGAAACCAGTCTAGAGAGTTCCTCAATACAGATTCTGTCTAATGAATAAGAAAGCAACATAGGCTGGGTGCAGAGGCTCACGACTGTAATCCCAGCACTTTGGGAGGCTGAGGCAGCTGGGTCACCTGAGGTCAGGAGTTTGAGACCAGCCTGACCAACATGGAGAAACCCCATCTCCACTAAAAATACAAAAAATTATTCGGGTGTGGTGGTGCATGCCTGTAGTCTCAAATACTTGGGAGGCTGGGGCAAGAGAATCACATGAACTCGGGAGGTGGAGGTTGCAGTGAGCTGAGATCGCACCATTGCACTCCAGCCTGGGCAACAAGAGTGAGACTCTGTCTCAAAAAAAGAAAGAAAGAAAGAAAGCAACATAACACATCTTACTGACTACACACAAAAACACAGGATATAAAAAACTGTTTCCAGCTATATTCCTTTTCAGAATCTTGTTAGTGAATGACAAAGAGAAAAAATTCAGCAACTCTTTCAGTATACAATTTTAACAAACTGAGTTTGACTCTTGGGGAGAGAAGGTGGTGATGGTGCTGTCCCTTGTCTCCTAGAATTAGTGACTTCGAGTTACATCTCTGCTGCATTATATCTTTGTTTTCTTGGTGGTGGCATTCTTGGGTTTCAGTTGGTGGGGAGAGAAAAGCCTCATGCTGATAATGTACTGAAAGTAAATGAAATTAAATAAGCGAAGCAGTGCTCATCACTACTTCCTCCCCCCTGGGTAATTCAATTCAAGCTCTCTCTCTGATGGCAACTCACAGGGGCTGTCTCTGTCACCCCGCTGGGGCCTGGAGTCTTAACATCTAAATAAAAGTTTCACTCAAGCATTTTTTATGCTCCTGCCAGCAGGATCAGTGAGCTGGTGTGGGCACATTAATGTAATATTCATACTCACAGACTCTCCCTGCACACGAGGCAATGTCTTCCTATTTTCATAATTATAGATGTTCCATAAAATGGCATTTAAATTTGCATTAAAAAAGGAGGTTTGAATTCTAATAGAACGTTTAACATGTCTTTTATGATTCAGACTCTTGGCATCTTTAACAAGGAGCTGTCTCTCTAAGTTTAACAAGACCTTTAGAAAGAAAAGAGAAAAAAAAAAAAAAAACCTGTGGGAAGAAGAGATGGAAACTCACGGTTTATGGGATCATGTTTTCCTCATCTCCCTATGTCTTTCATTTAATTTTTAGGCCTCCAGGAGGAATTTTTTTTTAAGAGACAGGATCTCTCGCTCTGTCACCCAGGCTGGAGTGAAGTGGTTCAATCACAGCTCATTACAGCCTTGAACTCCTGGACTCAAGGCTGGAGTGAAGTGGTTCAATCACTGCTCACTGCAGCCTTGAACTCCTGGACTCAAGGGATCCGCCTACCTCAGCCTCCCAAGTAGCTGGGACTACAGGTTTGTGCCACACCTGGCCTCCCCAGGAGCAATTTTTTGACAGCACTTAGAGAGCCTTCTCTTCTATAACTGGTCCTCTCCCCACGCAATGCCTCTCCCTCAGTAGAATCTGCTACTGTTTCCTTGGAGGTTGTTTCCAGAGGGGTAGGAGAAATGAAAGAACCCTAGAAAAATGAACTTTCCTTTGCTGCTGTTCATCTTACACGTGCACCCTGAGATGGATTAAAAGGATTTATGGCAACCACATAGTTTGCTAACTGTGAAACACACAAATGAAAGTAGTTCATGAATAAGGAGGTTAACAATAAGGACCAATTGGATAAAAAATCTGGCACATAGACACACTTAAAAACAGAAAAAGAGGCTCTTCTGATCTACCTTTCTATAACTAAGCTTGAAACAGCTTTAAAGTAAAATGTAATTTTGATTGCATTTTAAATTGTCATAGATGTTATTTTAAAACAAAAAGTAGGAAAGGCACTGAGCAAAGTGCCAGCTCATAGCCACCATTGAATAAATGTTACTGTAAGAAATGTTCAAAAAACAATTGTTTGAAAAAAAGTTATTTCAATCATAACTCTCAAGATACTGTATAGGTGGCCCAGTTGATTCATATGTAGTCATGCCTTACTTTATTTTGTACTTGGTTTGCTTCATAAATTATTTAAGACAATCCAAAAGAGATTTGGGTTCTGGGACTAAAAGGAGTAAATGCTAAAATACCACTAGCCCAGTTACCTTCTCTTTCACGTGTCCATGTGAAGAGATCACCAAACAGGCTTTGTGTGAGCAACATGGCTGTTTATTTCACCTGGGTGCCGGCAGGCTGAGTCCGAAAAAGGAGTCAGCAAAGGTGGTGGGATTATCATGAGTTCTTGTAGGTTTAGGGGCATGGGGTGGATCTCACCAAGTACATTCTCAAGGGTGGGGAGAATTACAAAGAAACTTCTTACGGGTGGGGGAGATTATAAAGAACATTGATCAGTTAGGGTGGGTAGAAACAAATCACAATGGAATGGAGTCATCAGCGTTAATCTATTTTTCACTTCTGTGGATCTTCAAGTTGCTTCAGGCCATCTGGAGTATACCATGCCAAGGTCCACTGGGATATGATGGCTTAGCTTTGGGCTCAGAGGGCGCTGACATTCCTGTCCTACTACTATAATAATAAAAATAAACAAAATAGGCGTGAAAAGTGGTTGGGGCAGCCAAAAATGTTTGGGGGTGGTGTGGAGAGATAATGGGCAATGTTTCTCAGGGCTGCTTCTCCAAGCGGATTAGGATTAGAGTGGAAGATTAGCAGGAAGAAAGTTTTTGGTAAGGATGATACTTGGTGGGTTTGTAGAAGAGCCATTTGTCAATAAGAATTATTGTGACGGCTGAGTGTGGTTTTGTATGAATATTGAGAAACTAACAAAGACACAAAGGTCCGAATAGACGGAAAAACAGGGTATTAAGACTAAGAATTGGGAGTACCAGGGCACAATCCAATTCAGGATGGTCAAAGGGGTTCAGCATAATTATTGCTTGGGCTGGCAAGTTTTGGGACTCTATTCCTGAGTTTTTTATGTTGTCATACCAGCCAGATTGGATTTAGGTAAAAACCACAATTCTTCGTTTAAAATAACAGGTTATACACCTTCCATTTTGCCTACATTAAGAAAGTAAGAGTGGTGTCCCTTAAAAGGAGCTTTTATTATTTTCATTCTTCTTCATTTATTTTTGAGAAGGTCAAATTCTTTTGTCTTCTATCCTCTTGTCCTCTTCTGTGAGTAATACAAACCCCAGTGGAGAAAGTATGGATTAGGATCTTGACTTCTCAATAAATTTCGTACCTAACCAGGGCTTATTGAAAAGCCAAGATGTTAGCAAGCATTACCAATTTAAAGGCTGATGTAATTTCAGGGTATTTGAACCCTTCTACAGTTCTCTTAATTACTCTTCTCATACTTTTTTGTGTTTAGTTTTGTTTGTTTTAGTTTTGTTTGAGACATAGTCTCGCCTTATCGCCATCTGGAGTGCAATGGCATGATTCTCGGCTCACTGCAACCTCTGCCTCCCCGCATTCAAGAATTCCTCGTGCCTCAGCCTCCCGAGTAGCTGGGATTACAGGTGTGCGCCACCACACCCAGCTAATTTTTTGTATCTTAGTAGAAGACGAGGTTCACCATGTTGGCCAGGCTTGGTTCCCGAACTCCTGGACCTCATCATCTCGCCTGCCTCAAGCCCTCCGCACGAGTGCTGGATTACAGGGTGAGCCACTGGGCCCCGGCCTCTTTCCCATACTTTTAAAGAAAGTCAGATTGGCAGTTATTGCAAGTTCACTCTTGCATAGCCCTTCTTGGATGAACTTAAAAAAATTTATGTTCACAGAGGTGCTGTTTATTAAAAGAAAAAAAAATTGAGTGTGTGTTTATTGCTCCCTCTTAGGTGACTATGTTTATGGTGGAGTCTATTACTCATTAAAGCTGGCTGTGCTGGTAGTTTTCATTTGACTTTTGATTATCCAGTGAGGTTTATCCAATTTGGAACTTATATCCATAAAAAATTCTTAATTTGGCCAGGCGCAGTGGCTACACTTGTAATCCCAGCACCTTTGGAGGCCGAGGTGAGCAGATTACGAGGCCAGGAGATTGAAACCATCCTGCTAACATGGTGAAACTCCATCCCTACTAAAAATACAAAAAAAGAAAAAAATTAGCCCAGGGCATGGTGGCGGGCACCTGTAGGTCCTCACCTACTCGGGAGGCTAAGGCGGGAGAATGGAATGAACCCAGAAGGCGGAGCTTGCCAGTGAGTCGAGATCGCACCACTGCACTCCAGCCTGCGTGACAGAGAGAGACTCTGTGTCAAAAAAAAAAAAATTCTTAATTTTCTGGGGTCCTTTTCCTGCCAATCAGTACATATTTAGGCTACCTCACCTACTACAAATTAATGTATATTTAGATAGTTTTAAGCAATTTTAGCATTAGATATAATTGAAAAGAAAGAAAATTGGCTGGGTGCAGTGGCTCACGTCTGTAATCCCAGCACTTTGGGAGGCCGAGGTGGGCGGATCACTTGGGGTCAGGAGTTCGAGACCAGCCTGGCCAGCATGGTGAAACCCCATGTCTACTAAAAATACAAAAAACATTAGCCAGGTGTAGCAGCGCATGCCTGTAGTCTCAGCTACCTGGGAGGCTGAGACACGAGAATGGCTTGAACCTGGGAGGCAGAGGTTGCAGTGAGCCATGATAGAACCATCGCACTCCAGCCTGGGTGACAGAGCAAGACTCTGTCTCAAAAAAAAAAAAAAGAAAGAAAAAGCAAGAAAACTTACTTTTCCTTCCAATCATATAGAAATTGTTTTATTTGGTACTGTGTTTAAGCAATTGCCCTTGTGTACTCTGTTATTAATGCCAAGTATCTAAAGTAGCCTAAATAAATGAAAATTTTGCCAGGTTTCAATAAAGCACTTTGCCATTGGTCCTTTTAGGAATGGAAGACATCGTAAAAGGAGCTCAAGAACTTGATAACATAATCAAGCAAGGATTCTTGGAGAAGAAAAGCAAAGGTAATGGTCAGACCCACAGATTTCAGAACATTCCAGGAAGGGAAGGGAAGTGAGGAAAAAGAAAGCTAACATATTGGGTGCCTTCTCTGTGCCCGGTACTGTGCTAGGCAGATACAAGGCAAAAGTAATGCAAGGAAAGGAAAGGAATCTGGTGTTTGTGTGTAGGCTAAAGAGAGATGTCCCAGCCTTGAGTAGACCATAAGCTTCATCAAGATAGGGATGGTTATATCCTGCTCACCTCTCTATCCCCAGTGCCTGGTATGTGACAGGTGCTTAATAAAACTTATTGAATCAATGAATGGTGTTCTTGTCCTTATCTCTCAGTGTGCTCCCACTGGGTAGTTTTTATATCATATGTGAAGCAGCCTACTTTCAAATTTCAGACAAGCCCAACTCTTTTGTTTTTTGTTTTTGTTGTTGTTGTTGTTGTTTGAGACTGAGTCTCGCTCTGTAGTGCCGTGGGTGTGATCCTGGCTCACTGCAACCTCCACCTCCTGGTTCAAGCGATTCTGCTGTCTCAGCCTTCCGAGTAGCTGGGACTACAGGTGTGCACCACTATGCCCAGCTAATTTTTTGTATTTTTAGCAGAGATAGGATTTCATCATGTTGGCCAGGCTGGTCTTAAACTCCTGGCCTCAACTGATCTGCCTGCCTCAGTCTCCCAAAGTGCTGGGATTACAGGCATAAGCCACCACACCCAGCCTTTTTTATTTACTTATTATTTTTTTAAGATGGGATCTCCCTCTATTACCAAGGCTGGAATACAGTAGTACCATCATAGCTCACTGCAGCCTCCAATCCTGGCTCAAGCAATTGCTCCCACTTCAGCCTCTCAAAGAGCTGGGACAACAGGTGCACAACTGTGCCTGGATATTTTATTATTTTTTATGGAGACAAGGCCTCACTTTGTTGCCTAGGCTAGTCTCAAACTCCTGGCTTTAAGCATACCTTCCATCTCAGCCTCCCAAAGTGCTGGGATTACAGACCTGAGCCACCACTTCTGCCTTCAAACCCAACTCTTGACCTTTAACTCATTTAATTAGAATAGGTACCACTAGAGTTGGCATCTCAGGTTTAACACTCAACAGGCAAATTGGCTCAGCACAAAAAAAAAAAAAAAAAAAAAAAAAAAAAAAAGCTCTTTCATGGCCATGGCCTGGAGAATCATTTTTCTTTGTCAAAGGCAACACATAAAGATATAATGGAGAATTTGAAAATGTACAAGATGAGATAAGAACCCAAAAGATATAAAGGAGGCTAGATAAAAAGACAGCTGTGGGGCACAGAGCAGGCACCCCTGTTTAGAACTTGGACCTTTAACTGAGCTAGTCCCCTGGACCCTGAGTCAATACGGGATAACCTGTGGGAGTGAAAAGGAGGGTTTTACAGTCCATTAACCTGGGAAATAAAACAATAACACACTGGACTGTATGTTGTTGGATTTTACAGACTCTTCAGTGATGGTAGTTACCTGAATTTATGTCCCCTACTGCTGTTCTGTTTAGATCATAGTTTCTTTGGATCGGAGTGGCAGAAGCGATGGTGTGTTGTCAGCAGAGGTCTCTTCTACTACTATGCTAATGAGAAGAGTAAGTGTTCTTCATTTACACAGCAGCATCTCACTCCTGGATGCAAACACTTCGTAAATTCTCAAGCACTTAGATCTCAAGATAGCAGTCCTTAACTAATACCCATAAAGGGACATGCTTAGGAAAGAAATAGGCATGGGCAAATAATACCTTGCCCATCACCGAAAAAGCAGAACCCAATTTAGAAATTATTTCACCTTTAAACACTAAGAGTGTGGTCAGCACATCAAAGGGTTATCTTTTATTATGATTAGCAATACATTATCAAAGTTGAATGTTTTGATTTAAAAAATAAAAATAAAAAGAACTTCAAACTCTTTACAGGTATCAATACCATAGCTAAAATATTGAAATAAATTAATTCTGAGAAAGACTTAAAGAACTTAAACAATGGGCCAGAAATTGAACCCCCTAAGGGCATGCTCCCAGCTTTATCCTAATGACTACTAGGAAGTAAGTAGTCCAGTGAACATTCCTATAGCCATAGAATATTGAGACCCAAATGGTTGCTGTACCCAAGGCACGCCCTTCAGCCAGATGACAGCAGCAGTGAAGTGTTGACTCAGGCCAGAGATAGTTTCTTAATGAGCCACCACTGACTTAATCAAGTCAACACTCATGAGCTAACCCTAGAAGACCTCCCATCCATGTTTAACGTAATTGATTGATTTATGAAAAGGAATAGAGGATATAAGCACAATAGGAGGCAATTACAAATAAATACAAGCTAAAAATTATTACTATAGATGAATGCAAACTTTCGAATAGGGGATACACTTCTACAGAGTTGGACTGCCCCAGGAGTAATTCTAAGAAACAAGAGGGAGACAAAGTTTAAAAAACGTCAATTCTTGGCTGGGCGCGGTGGCTCACGCCTGTAATCCCAGCACTTTGGGAGGCTGAGGTGGGCGGATCACAAGGTCAGGAGATGGAGACCATCCTAGCTAACACAGTGAAACCCCGTCTCTACTAAAAATACAAAAAATTAGCCAGGCGTGGTGATGAGCGCCTGTAGTCCCAGCTACTCAGGAGGTGTGAACCCGGGAGGCGGAGGTTGCGCTGAGATCACGCCACTGCACTGCAGCCTGGGTGACAGAGCAAGACTCTGTCTCAAAAAAAAAAGCATCAATTCTTGTTGGGGCTTTCTTGTGCTGTGCACCTTCGAACAGAGGCCAGCGATACAGATTGAGTAGAGCCTTTTTTTTCCTTGCAGTCATTTTCTGTTTCTCCTTTCTTATTCCTTCCTCAAACTTAGTCCTCTCCCAGTGCCTGGATATCCAATGTAGGGAATAATCAGACACCCACCCAGTTGCCTTTGTACTTCCTGCACCTGCAGTACTAAGGTAGTAGAAAGAACTACAGCTTCGGGCCAGGCGCAGTGGCTCACGTCTGTAATCCCAGCACTTTGGGTGGCCAAAGCAGGCAGATCATGAGGTCAGGAGTTCAAGACCAACCTGGCCAACACAGTGAAACCCCGTCTCTACTACTAAAAATACAAAAATTAGCCAGGCATGGTGGCAGGTGCCTGTAGGCTGAGACAGGAGAATCGCTTGAACCCAGGAGGTGGAGGTTGTGGTGAGCCGAGATCACGCCACTGCACTCCACCCTGGGCAACAGAATGAGACTCTTTCTTAAAACACTGAATCTTTGCTAAGTTACTTGAAATCCTTAAGATTTGCCCTTGGGCTTGGTAGCAATTGCCTCATGCTGCCTCCCTGCCTGCAGTAGTTATCACAGACCTTTGCCTACCTTTCGCCATCCTACATCCCTCAGAACCTTTCCCATCTAGGGGCAAAGGCTAAAGCCCTGTTTGGAAAGGATAACAGCATAGTTTGTAAACTGAGCTACAAGTCCCATGTGTCCTTCCAACCCCCAACCCGCTCTCAAACCCAGCAACCACAATTTCTCCTCTAAATTACAGGCATACAACCCAGCCAGTTGTTCTTTTCTTATTTTAAACCTTCAAACTAATATGCCATTTGTCACTGTAAATATGTTCATCATTTCTTTTGCATTTAAATAAGTGGTTGGCATATCTAGATATAAAACCAGGTGTGTCACATCTGTTCATTCAGAATCTTCCATACTCACGGTGAGAGAGGAGGGGGGACAGTAAGAACAAGAGACTCAGAGGCTTTTATTGACCATTTTGCCATCAGGGTGAAATAAAATCTGGTGACCAAAGAAACAACAAAACATTTTAGTGGCCGGTTAGAACAAGGAGAGATACTTTAACAAAAAAGATTCTGGTGTCAAAAAGCACTGTTCCATGGCTCCCTTCTCGCCAGTTATTTCTTATTGTGCCCATGACATTTTCTTAGTAAGAATAGTGTTTGTGTATTTCTTTTAGCTCAACCAGGTGAGGACAGAGTCTTTTTTCTTCTTCTTTCTTTTTTAATATTGTCAGCACACTGCCATCCTTCTCATCATTATCATCATCAAAAAGCATTTATTAAGCAATTCATTTCACATGATATAGAGCTCAAAGCATCCCAGACACTGTGGTTCCTGTTCTCTATGTGTTCTGCCTGAACCACACAATGAGGACAAAAAATTCTTGAGAGCCACCTCCTCTTTTTCTGTTTCTAACACTTTTTTTTGGTAGTGACAAGCAGAATAGTCTCTCTTCACTTAGGGTCCTTTTCCTTTCGTCTCCTTCCTCGTCATCTAATAATACTCAACATTATTCTGCTACTTCTCAGGTTGACCTCTTACAAGGAGGATAAATACTGAGTTTTAATCATTCTCCCTCTAGCATAAATTCCCACCTGACCAGCAGGGAAGGGGGAGAGAAGTTTAGCCCAAATGCTACATAGGGCATGGGAGGCAATTCTGGGACCTTATAATGCCCCCCTGTGCTGCTGTCCCTCCCCTCAAATGTGAGCTCTGCTGGCCCTGATAATAATGTTTCAGCTCTATAATAGCCTTCAAGAGCCTCACATTTACAGCCACACTCTCCCTGCTGTAATAATTCCTTCTTTCTGTTATTATAGATCTCTTAACATTCTAATAAATTCTCTGTCTCTGTTGTACTCTTTTGGCAAAATAACCTTTCACGTTGCATTTCCCTAGCTTGGCAGTGGTATCTGCCTTACTGTCGCAGTAGCCTCTTCTTAAGCTTCTCTAATAACCTTTCCTTGACTATTGTGGTTCCTCAGGGATGTAACAGCTGTTTCTGTGCTTTTATTTTACATACCAGAGAAGATGCCTTCCCTTGGCAGTTGCATCTCTCTAGGGATACAGGGAGCTTTCCTGTCTTGCAGGCAAGCAGCCCAAAGGGACCTTCCTCATTAAGGGCTACAGTGTTCGGATGGCCCCCCACCTGCGAAGAGATTCCAAGAAAGAATCCTGCTTTGAACTGACCTCCCAGGATAGGCGCAGCTATGAGGTAGGACGCACCGAGGAGATGGTGATCCTTGTTGGTGTTGCAGTTTCCTTTCGTGTTGCATGTGAGCCATGGTTGCTATGCTGGGTTCCAGCCTTTCTTTGTTACCTGCTCATTTCATACCAACTAAGACCCTATTTCTTGACATGTCTTCACATTTGCTATGCCACACCCTCCCCTCTGTTGCCACTCTCATCCTAGATACAGACTTTGCTTGGCTTCCATCCTTCATTCCTCCCCTTCTCAATTTCAATTCATAGGTGAGATGCTTGTCAGTTGCAGCACACAATCCAATTCCTTACTTATAGTCTCTGATTTTATGGTTTAAATTCCCATTCTCTTTATTTTTCAACTGATTTTCTTCACTTCCTCCCATAAAACCCAAAAAAAGAAGATCTAACTGTAGAGTGAAAAAAAAAATTATTTTCCCATGTTCATCTTGCTATGCAAAATAATCTTCCTGTATGTAGATGCTTTGCATATCTCTGGAAGGATTTCTAAGGTATTGGTGACAATAGTTAGTAATAATAATAATTGAAGGACTAGAGGACCTGGTTGGGGCATGAAAGATTTATTCCTTACTATGCTCAGTTTGAATCTTTACCTCATTATAAAGTTAATTTGTTTTACTTTATTTTTGCCATCTTCATCCTGAATGACCAATAAAATTTAAAAATTTCTGACTGTGGAAATATAGTGATTTTCACCGAAAATGTATGTTTGCATGTGTGTGTGTATTGTTTTCTGCTCTTTGGTAATGTTTATCTTATTACAATTTTATTAAAGCAATTTAGAAAAACTGTAGCTTATGAAAAAGGAAAACACCATACTAAGAGTAAATTAACCACTTAAATAACACGTTTAGTCTTCAGACTTTTCTCAGCATTCTTCTTTTTATTTCTACAGTATCTTAACTCTTATTTTGTTAAAGGACCTAGGTCTTCATTATGTAATTTCCAGAAATTTTTAAAAATTTGAATTAAAATTTTTTATAGAGTCCTTTATGAATATATATAAAATAGATCTATGCACTGAATATGTTCCTAGTTATTTTTATTATTATATTCTGATAGTAACACATCCAGATAAAAGTTTATGTAACAAGTCTAAACCAGTATTTCTAGAAATGTTTTTATAGAAATTTGTTTTTAAGAAATCAAGAATAACAATGTTTATTAATAAGTATTATGCAGGAATCCAGTTTCTTTGTGTAGCAGATATCTTTACCTTACCCTAATGGTCAGATAATTAAAATATTTTTCAGGGACAATTATTTCAAGTTGATTCATTTAAAATAAAAAACTTACTAAGGGCTGATGCTTGACTGGCCTATTTTGTAAATCAGAATGTATTTACTTCTTTTCTTTGGCCTATTGAATCCAAATCATTACCATGGTCCATGGATTCTTCTTCTACAATATCCTTCGGCTCTTTCCCTTCTTATTTATTCCCACAGCTATCACAATGGTTAAGTTCCTGTCACTTCATCCAGAGGACCAGTTGGTCTTCTATCTCCAGATTTCTCTATTCCAATCCTTCCTACTCACAGCTATTGAAAGAATCCCCCACTCCCTTTGCTAGAGCTGATAGTGGCTTCCCGTTGCCTACATTTTAACTCTGAGCTCCTAGTACTCAGAGCCCTTTTACCAACTCTTCTCTGACCCTCAACTCTCCAACTTCATCTGTTATTTTCTCCAGTCAAACTGATCTGCCAGCCTTCCCCATAAGTCATGTTCTCATTCCTGTTCTTTTGCACATGGGCCTCCCTACCTAAAATGTCCAACTCTGTCCACCAGTTTCCACCAACTCTTCTTTAAAATCCAACCAAAATGGTATTATTTTAGCAAGCCACTCTGACCCACTCTAGGCAACAATAGGTGCTCCCGGTCTCCTCTTGTGCCTCCTTTGTAGTGTTCCCGTTTCGTGTGTGGGGGTTGGTTTGCTTTTTTTTCTTGTAAACTTTTCTCAAATAAATGGCTGATGAAGGAATAGATAATCAAATGAAAGAATGCACATGGACATGAATGTCTGGACTCAAAAAGCTGTCATCTCTGGATATGCAAAATTGCACAAGGAAAAAATCAGTTTGAGTGAAATATTTGTTCTTCTTTCTGTATGTTAATCAGGCAGAGAATCCTGAGCTTTAAACTTGACTCTGAAACTCAGTGGTTCCTCCCCCTTAGACATCCCTGTCAAGATTCATGGAAATTTTAGTGACAGTGATAAATTAATTCACTGATTTTTCTGTAGTTTACAGCTACTAGTCCAGCAGAAGCCAGAGACTGGGTGGATCAAATAAGTTTCATGTTAAAAGGTAAGTGTCACTGTTACAGAAATAATACCTGAGTTCATTTGCAGTTGAAGTTATGTTGCATAAATATAATCTATAGACTTCAGTATGTATTTTTTCTGCCCTTTCTCACCTCTGCCTTTCCTACCACATTCCCCATATTACAACAACAGATAGTACTATGTGTGAATGAGAAGGTAAAGATGGTATCAACCTTGGGAGGACCTCTGGTATCATAGCTCATCCACCTACCTACAGGCAAGTCTGTAATATTCAAAATCACTAGACAAGAAGATTCTAAAAATCAGCTCAGCCCAATTCAGTGTCTCCTAACCCCGTATATTCTGGAAAGAAAATTCATAATATCCAACTTAAAGTCATCTAGTTGCAATTGAGGTTCAAAATCTTCTTATTTTAGTCTTAGGAGGAAGTAGAAATCTAAACCAATCTAGATGGTCTTCAGAGACATTGGACATTAAAAACAAATTGCTATTTCCCAAGCCGCAATAAGATGTTCCTTGCTTTGGGGTGGGAAGAGTCCTGCCTGAAGATGGTAAATGACTGCTCTTAGAGTACCCTCTGCTGGCCAGCCTGTAGGCAAAGCAGAAACGGTGGCCAGGGAAGCCTTATCTGGGAGTGGCCTGTCAGGTAGAAGAAGCCAACCTTGAGTGAGTCACTTGGTATTAGATAATCCTTACCTACCATCATGGCAGGACCCTACCTCTGTTCTGCAGAAAGGCAGAAACACCGACTTTATACATGGCCCAAGACCTAGAAAGACACACGTCAACCTAAAAATGCCAAGCCTTTTCATCTCAGTGTTTTATTCTGCTATAAGATTTTATTGTGGATAAAAAGAAGGAAGCACCAGAGCTTTAATTACAAGAATTGCCTGTTTTACTCAGTTATGCCTTTGCTATCACAAAAACAAACTATTGCATCTACCAACAGCGTCATGTATAATAGACTGGAACTAGGCAAACATGAACATTGATGGCAAGACTACAGGGTACACTCTCATCTAGGTGCCTTGGATTTATGCGTGTAATATACCCCTAAGTGTGTAAACCTCAATAAAACTCAAAGCAGCTTTATTGAGCTGTACCCTGTGGTACTTTCAGAATCCCACATTGAAGAAATTATTCATTCCATTTTATTTTAAAACAAACAAAATAATAACATATGGTTTAAGCCACAAATGTGTTTTTGATCTTTTCCTCTTATGTGGTGGCACCAAAATTCAGATGAAAATTGTTGCAAAATCTTTATTAAAAGCCTAATCAAGCCAAACAGTTTTATTGCATTTTGAAATGAACGTTGGACGTCTCTCCATCCTTTCCTTCCCCAGAGTAGGCTGACTGCAATCGCCCATCCTACAGAGGGCCCTCAGCAGGGTTTCAGAGAGCACTTTGTAGTACACATCAGAGAATGAACATACCCAGTTCCCCATTAAAATAAAAAACCAATCTCCCTCTCCTGCCCTGGTGCTCCCCAGTGCTGTAATGGCTCAACACCTTCTATGCAGTGACCCACTTTAAGGTCAGCTAGACTGTGCAGTTGCAAAAGGACATGGTAACTGCATTGTTCAGCCATTCTATTTGGTGTTGTATTACTGCTATATTTTTCCATACCCCATTTCTTTTTCTCTTCCACTGTTGCCCATTTTTTTCTCTGCAAACAAATTTGTCTGAAATTCTGCAGTGAAATCACTGGGGATATGAGCTTCTGACAGCTCCAACACCCTACAGAGGCCACCTTAGTTCCCATGGCCTGAGCACCCTGGAGGACTGCAAGCCTTCACTCACCCTTCCAGTTTTCTACTTGATGAGCTGTGCGCAGCACACTGGCTTTTCCTCTTCTGGCCTATTTTCTTCCATTCGCCTCCTGTTCTCATTCACACACCCATACTTTTCAGGCTGCTTCACCCTGATCAAGTTTTATTGCAAGGAAGGATTTATGCTGATGGTTTAAACCTGATGCAGTGCTATTCCGGCCTTTTCTGTAGATTTCCTGCCACCAAAGCCCACATTAGATATAATAGCATTTAACCTGGTGTTTCATTTTCTTTTGACATATTTTACTCTCATCCCTCCTCCTCCTTCTCCCTCTTTCCTTTCCTGTCTTATTATTTTCTTTTTCTCTGTTTCTTGATTCATTCTCATCTTCGCCCTGGCAGATCTGAGCTCCTTAACCATTCCATATGAAGAGGACGAGGAGGAAGAAGAAAAAGAAGAGACATATGATGATATTGATGGTTTTGACTCCCCAAGTTCTGGTTCCCAGTGCAGACCCACTATCTTGCCTGGGAGTGTGGGGATAAAAGAGCCTACAGAGGAGAAAGAAGAAGAAGATATTTATGAAGTCTTGCCAGGTGAGAAATTTTGTCCTCTGATTATCTTCCGCTAGTTTCGGAAACTCATGACCTGGAGGAAGAATAATAACTTTGAAAATTCCAAAATAAGCCAAATCGAACCTTCATCCTCTGAAAGAGATAATGTGGGAAGCTTTATGAGATTGTAGGGAAGCGGGTAATGAGGCTCTGCCTTGCCATGGGAGCAAGAAGAATTTGATTAGAGAGTGTCTTCTATCCATGCCATGTGAAGTAACTTATTACATGTGTCCACCAGGTTAAAGAGTCAAGAATACTTACATTGGTTTTTATTGGTTTATTGTGAGCTTTGGGATGAGTCATCAAAATTCTCTAGTTTCAACTTTTTGGTGTGTAGTTGTAAGAATAAGGAAAATTGCTTCAAAATTATGAAGGATTTCAAAACTCTGAAATATGTAAATGCTGACAAATCTTTTAGTAATACCTTGATAGACCAAACCTTGATAGTAAACCTTGATAGAGAACAACTCATTATTACCTAGTTCAGATATACCATGAGTTAAATCACATCTCTTAAAAATAACCCTAACATGTTTTATCTGCTCATCATTACAGCAGGTCTGCTTTATATATTTCCTTTCTTCCAAAGGCATGAAAACTAGCATCTCAAAAAATGTATAGTCATCACTGCTTCTGCATAGCCATGTCTGGTGGGGATAACAGCAGCTGGTGAACGGTGCAGAGCTCAGTGGGGGTCAGACGGTGGAGAACCAAAGCCTGAGCCTTTTAATTGTGAAGTAGTTAGACCACAGGAACACTAATCTTCAAGTCCATTCAGAAAGATCATTCCTATGGAAATTTGCCAGGAGTTCAGTGCTCTGCGGAGAAATTCAAGTTAAGCTTAAATTTATAGCAATTTAGACCCAGATGAACCCAGATGAACCTCAATCCCAGATGAACCTAAGAACTAAGGTGAATCTAACACTCAGGTCCCTGAAGACAGGGCTGGTTGCTGAAAGCATAATCAGTAAGCAACTTGCATTTCAAGGCTTCCTAAGAAGAGCATCCAACCCTCACCACACTACATTCATCTCTTCCTGGGGAGGAAACTACATCATTGCTTCCTGAGTCAAGGGGCAGGACCGTGGCCATATGTCCCTGCCCTGCTGAGGACTTCACCCACCCACCAAGGAGAGCCTGCTTCTTCTCCTAGCACTTCCAGCCTCTGCCAGTCCTGACTTCTCCAGCCTTTTTGTTGTGTTTTATTATGCAAATGATATCTTGGTTGAGGTCGAGCCATTTCTTGTGTCTTGTGTCTGACGTTAAAAAAAATGATAATTTCCTCAGCAAGTCATCGTCGTTAATGAAGTTTTACAAAAACAGATACAACCAAAGGAAAATAAAATTTCACAGGTGATAAATTTTTCCAATTTCCCTGGCAGAATTCGATAGGATTGTTAAATTAAGAGTGAAGGTGTCTGTTAGAAAGCAACGAGCAGTGATGGGTAATTTTATAGAGTGGAAAATTGAATCAAATTGCTACATTAAAACACAGCTCCTCTGAGAATCTTCCCTTTCACAGTTGGCTCCATTGCAACAGCAGGGTGCAGAAATGGATCTAATTCACAATACTCTCTAAAAGGAGATGCACTCCCCAACTTGGCCAGAATCTTCTTAGTGAGCTCACATTCTGCTCACTCCTGCCCAGGCTTGGGGAAATATCCGCGTGACACTCCACTTTGGGTTACAACAGTGGAAGAGTGCTCTGGGAAAACCTCAGTGAACTTTCTGGGGTGGAAAGAAAGGGCCTTTTTCTGCACCATGTTTCATTTTCAAAGGAGCCAGGAAGGAGGAGGCTGATGCTCAGAGACGCAGAGCAAAGGAGAATAAAAAGAGGTCTCAAAAAATAAGATGAGTTTGGGACTGTCACCTTACCCCAGGAGTGGGCAGTGAAGGTATGATTGGCTTCCTAATGACCATCTTTCTCCTGCCTCCTAAACTCCTCCCCTTAGCCAATGCAGCACCGCCCAGAGTATCAGGGCATTTTTCCAAAATTCCCACCAGCTGGTATGTTGGAGTGGCCCCAAGGGCATGAAGACTGGTCTGTGGGTGCATTTAACCTCTATCCACAACAGCTGCCCATCGGAAGTGAGGAAGGCCACACAGTAGGAAATCCAGGATATCTTTCTGCAGATTAGGGAAACAACAGCTAAATTGCACCCAGTTTCCAAAGGACAACACTGTACCCAGGCAACAGGTTCTTTCCCATAAGCCTCTGTCCATCACAGTTCCTAGAGACAGAGTTGGAGGTGGGATATATTGGCATTTAATTATGATATGAATATTTCAGCCGCAAGTTTCCATCACCCAGTTTCCTGTCCACTCCACTCAGCTGTTGCTTCTGAACTTGCTATTTGAATTTTGCGTAGTGCCACACCTGGAGAAATTGAGAAGGGAATGTGAGGGGGCCTAACACTGTCTCCCTTCTGCTGCCCTCTCATAAGACCACCTACCAAGCAGCGGCACATGAGACAGCAATGGTATCCTAGGCACAGATACTGACCCTAAAACAGGATGGATTTGCTCTGCCACCTGCTAACTGTGAGACCTTGAGCAAGTTACTTGCCCTCTCTCTGTCTGATTATATTACCTGTAAAACAGGGAAAACAATAGTAGCTGTCTCAGAGGGATGTGGTGAGGAGTCTAAAACTGACATGTGTAAAGTTCTTAGCACAGAGCCCTGGCAAACAATGGCATACAGTGAGTACTCAGTAAATGCTGGCTGTTATTAATGTGATGGTGTTTAAACAGGAAGTGTTACCTCCTTGAAGAACTGGGGATGGTTAGGTCCCCACCCTCTCGAACCAGACCCAAGACAGTCCCGTTGGTTATTTCCAGCTATGTGTATGCAGCAGGTGAAATTGAAAATCCTGAGCAGATGGAATGTGAAGTGCACCTTCTGCTCAGGCCCATTTTTACTGCAAGGCCAGGTGCTGGGTGGAGGGACAGCCTACAGTACCGTTGGATTGTGCTAACATTGCATACCCCTCAAGAATCAAATGACGTGGGCCTCTAACATTTGTTTCATTATAACAGGTAAAAGTGCTTTGTGGAGGATATTTAACATTGACGGTTCTGCTAATCCTCCCTTTTGGGATGGGTCCCACACAAGCCCTCACTGTCTCTATAGGGAAAGCCATGTAAGTGAGACCTTCCTTCCAGAGTATAATTTAGATGGGCTTCCTAATAGGGAGAAAAGTGTATGTAACGCATACCAAGTCAATAAAAAATGTTTTTTTGTAATCAAAATAATGTATGGGTCATCACATTAAACTCACTCCATCACATTAATCATGGGATAATTAGCATTTGCTACATGGCTAGCACTCTTCTCCCCGTGAGGGAAAACCAGAGCACTCAAGGTTTTCAGCCAGGCCACAAAAACGTTAGTCCTGGAAAATATGGTTTCAAGGTTGGTATCTGGTGGGATTTCTGAACATCCATGTTGAGCATTTGCGGGCCCTTGATTTTTTTAGGATCTCATTTGCAGTAGATTAAACTGCAGGGAACCACCACAAAGAAATGCTAAAGCAATATGTAGAAAATGGGAGGCTTTTCTGAGCCCTCTCTCACCACCACCACCACCCCCAAAGTTATTTTACAGGCCAGCATAGGCCCAGCTCCATGATTCAAGATTCCATAAAAGGACAACTTTTATCAGGTTTCTCTTTGTCTGGAGTCTCAAGGCTGGGATCCAGCAAGACGTCTGAGACCATTGAAGTGCTGTAACTGGGGCCTTGTAGCAGCTGCAATGGCAACAGAATCCGGCTGTGTTCTCTAGAGAGATTTCAGAAGAGCAAATGGAAAGAGAGATGAAGAGCCCTCTTTGGGAATTTCTGTGCACATTCCAATGCTGCCCACACTGCCCCAGGGTGTTGTTATAGACCTAGAAACCAGATTGCTTTAAAATAAAGCGTATAACTGAGTTTTTAAAATTTTGAGTCAAATGGAAACAAACATTCTGTGGAATTATTTTTCCCCCTGTACTGTTGTTCAGACCCACAGGAAGGGGGAACAGTGAAGATAAGAAGTCTAAGGAAATGAAACAAAATGGAGACCAAAAATACAAAGTTTATGAAGAAAGAGCATCAGGGAAGAGTCAACACCATCATCAGGCCTCCTCTGAACTTCTGGCCTTTTCTCTCTCTTACTCCCATGCCTACTGAGCCCAAGTCACACAGTGCTGCTTGGTTGGCACCAAAACTAGAATCATGTTGTTTCTTCTACCTAGACCATCCCCCTGATTTCAGCCTGTGAAATCGTACACATTCTGCTCAAATATGTCTCCTCAGTGACACCTTCCCAGATACTCAACTGGAATTAAGCTTTGTTTTAGCCCTCACCAGTGATTTGTATTCAGGTCTTTCTCCCCAATTAGTAGATGCTTAGGTATTATTTGTGAAGTTAAATTCAGTGCATTTCAAGTGTTGCAGATAGCACAAATTGAGTTTAATATCTTATACATCAAGCCCATATCACTGAAATATGATGCAAATATTTTGAGGTAACAGTTAAGATAACCAAATACACAACAGAGAATTAAATGTGTTATTAGCATCTTGCTTGTATTTTCCATGTAGTCTGACGAGGTGCTATACATCCGTGGATTTATAACATACCTGTGCATGCCGGGGAGCAGTTTATTTCTAGTTTTCTGCATGTCCCCTTTGCACCTTGAGTCTATCTGTATTTCTGTTGCATCTGTCACCAGAGCACCTTGACATCTGGTTGCACATTGACACAGTTGGCATTTTTTGAAGCTTTTGTCACTTTCTTTGTTTGGGGAAGTAAGTGATTTCTCCTCTTTCTGATTTAGTAATTTTTTCCTAATGTTATTCTTTCTGATATCAGTGTAGCCGATGTCAGAGGAATGTCAGAGCAGCACTTCAAAAAAGAGCCAGGTGTCATGAGAAGCTGCTGGCTCCTCTCTGTCCCTCTGAGGTGGATTCAGTGTCCTATTCCTCTCAACCTCTCATTAGTGTCCCTGACATTGTGCCAAGAATGTTGATTGAAATCGACTCTCCGGATACTGATGCTCATTTGTGATGCCCTGTGGTTCTCTTACATGTTCGCACAGTTAACAGAATCTTCTTCAACTGTTTTCCCAATTGAGATGAGATATTTGGGGATCAAATAGAGCATTTAATGTGATAAGTGGACAGTAATCTTTAGAGGTTAATTTGTTTAAAACCTATGTAAGGTTGGGGTCCCATATGCCCTGTTAGGAGCAAGGACCATTATAATCCATTACTGTTTAAAGTTGAGCTAGCATATAAATTTTAATTCACTCTTAAATGAAGATATATTTCAGTAGATATAATGCTGAAATGCCTAATAATATTCTTATAAAGAAATTCAACAAGCTCTTTAGCCTAAAAAATATTTTTTCAAAATAGTCTCTTAAAATTAAAGTGTCACATTACAGATTAATAAAAATGAAAACTTTAGCTACTTAACCCACCCCTTTTTGTGAGCAACAAGACTTTTTTTCTGTTGCCATATAATAGTTGTCTTTGACTCTGGAGTTGGAAAGACACCTGTTCAGTCTCATGGAAAGATCTGAGATAACTTGTATGCCTGTTTGTATTGTGCCCTCTGAACCTAGGGAGGTGTCTAGGGGTGTAATTTTCACAACCAGCTGTGAATGGTGCTTTCCTTCACTATGCAATAGTGCCCCCTACCCAATCTTCCAAAGACCCCAGAAGCATAGCACCAAGCCCATCAATGGGAAGTCTTCTTGATTTGAGCCTACTTTCAGCCACCTGGGAAGGACAGTGTTAGATAAAACAGATGTGGGGATTGGAGCTTCCCCGTTTACATCCATCATCGTAGAGCTTAGTAATGGCGGTGAATGACATAAAAGCTCTATAGCCAATGTTTTTTTTTCTTTCTAGTTGATTCCAAAAGTGCGGTGGAAATCAAGAGTATCTGGTCTGGAACTGAACTGCATAGAACACATTTCTATTGTTCCATCTTTGTATTATGACTAGATTAAGTGCTGTTGCCCGAAAGAATAAAGGAATCAAGTTTTAGTTTTCATTTTTATCATTGCAAATACATTTACATTCTCCTATTTTACAAATGCAAAGAGCAGGCAGGCCACTTTCAATAATTTATTTTAAAATCAATGCTAATGAGGTTATGTCTCGTCAGTAGCCGAGTTTTACAATAAAGTCTGATTTATTTAGAAAAGATCTTTGGTGAAGCTTCCCATCTAATGGCGGTGGGAAGGAGGTGGAGTAGCAGCACTGTGACCCTCCAACTTCGGATCCAATTTGTAATTCACAGTGGAGATCTGACCCAATTTACATTGATTAGAATTGGGAGGAAGAGACAGCTGCGCACAGACAGCAGCGGTAGAATAAACCCTCTCTGCAAAAGTGCCTAAGCACAGCAAATTATTGGTCTTTGTGATGGAGTTGTTTGATATCAACAAAAGAGCTGCTCTCTGTCCAAATTATTAGGTATCTCTAAAACTGAGGATGTACCAACTTTTCCTCTAATGTTTCCAATCCTAAAATTAGTCCCATGTCAAAGGAAACGCATCATAGCCAAGAAAGGAAGGAAGTGGACGAGCAATGAGAAGACAATGTGCAAAGAATATTTAATGTGGTTTATTTCAGCATGATCTGTTTCTTATATTTGATTTCACTCCTCAATTAGCTTAGGTTGTTTTATTCCTCATGGTAGGGTTGAGGGAGCACTACAGGTGGCAAGTAGAACATTCTCTGCTGCTAGATCATACATGGCTATAAGAACTGTTGAGTCAAAGTGCTCCTTCTCCTACTATATTGTAGGGAAAAAATATATATATTTTATTTCCCAGAGTATCAGTCTTTTTTTTTTTTTTTAAGAGACAAAGTCTCACTCTGTTGCCCAGGCCCAGGCTGGACTGCAGTGGTGCAATCAGCCTCAAACACCTGAGCTCAGGCAATCCTCCTGCCTCAGTCTCCCAAGTAGCTGGAACTACAGGTGTGCACCACTGTGCCTAGCTAATTTTTATTTTTATTTTTTATAGAGACAGGGTGTTGCTCTGTTGTCTACGCTGGTCTCTAACTCTTGGGCTCAAGCGATCCTCCCATCTCAGCCTACCAGAGTGCTGGGATTGCAGGCGTGAGCCACCACAACTGGCCGTATCAGTCTCTTTCTTACTTGAAATCAATTACTCCTTTAATGCTTTATAGTATTCTAACATATTTTTATGCTGCTCCTTTTTACCTATGAGCTTGGAGCTTACTTCCCCAGTTTGACACACTGGAACTCATATTGCCCTATAAACATTACATTTAAAAAGAGAAAGAGAAATGTGAAAGATTCATTTAGTGGCAAAACTATGGAGAAGCAAGACAAGCAAATGTCGTTAAGACTGAGGAGAAGGGCCAGGCACGGTGGCTCAAGCCTGTAATCCCAGCACTTTGGGAGGCCGAGGCGGGCAGATCACGAGGTCAGGAGATCGAGACCATCCTGGCTAACACAGTGAAACCCCGTCTCTACTAAAAAATACAAAAAACTAGCTGGGCGAGGTGGCGGGCGCCTGTAGTCCCAGCTACTCGGGAGGCTGAGGCAGGAGAATGGCGTAAACCCGGGAGGCGGAGCTTGCAGTGAGCTGAGATCCGGCCACTGCACTCCAGCCTGGGCAGCAGAGCGAGACTCCGTCTCAAAAAAAAAAAAAAAGACTCAGGAGAAAAGAAAGTAAATGTAGCCAGGAGGAGCTGAGTATTGAGCCCTCAAAACATTGCTTATTATACCCTATCTACTGTGCACATGTGTGTATATATGTGTGAGTGAGAGAGTGGGAAAAGAGCATGGTGGTAGTGAAAAGAATAGCAAGTGTATTTTTCTTCACTTTGTCCCATGTATAAAATAGCTAAATATGATTCTGGTACACATATTTACTTTATAAAGGCCCAATTCCTATTTTATCAGGTAATGTTATGAGATGAAATCGGTTAATGGGATTAAGAAACGTAGGCCAATTATGTTATGACTTTGACCGTATAAACATTTGACTGGACACTGGCATTGACTTAGAACTCATTGTGAATCTACGGCAATTAATTAAAAGACCATTCCAGCTACCCTCAGGAGCTTATACTCTAATGAACAAGGCAGGCTGAATAAAAACAGTAAAAAGATAACTACAAGCCCCAAGTACTAGGAACATAAAATTATGTACATGACCAGCCTCCATTACAGCTAAACAAAGATGGATACATTAAGGATTAAGGACTAATTAATCAAAGAGGGTTTTTTGTTTTTTCCCAGGGACAGAGTCTTGTTCTGTCACTGAGGCTGGAGTGCAGTGGCAAAATCTCGGCTCAATGCAACCTCTGCCTCCTGGGTTCAAGCAATTCTCCTGCCTCAGCCTGCTGAGTAGCCGGGATTACAGGCGCCCGCCACCGCACCCAGCTAATTTTTGTATTTTTAGTAGAGACAGGGTTTCACCATATTGGCCAGGCTGGTCTCAACTCCTGACCTCATGATCTGCCCGCCTTGGCCTCCCAAAGTGTTGGGATTACAGGCATGAGCCATCGCACCCAGCCAGTCACAGAGGGTTGTTCAGACACACACACATGCACACACTCTAACATCCTAACTCTGGAGTGCTTAAAACCGGAGAGAATGCTTTCATAGAGATAATCATTTTGAAGAGAATTCCAGAGAGAAGGAGAAATGGAGTTTGAGGAAAAGGATTAGGATTCCGGTGATAGACATCTGAATAATCCAATGGACTGGAAGCTCCACAATGGCAGGAACTCTGACAGTCTTGTTTATTGCTTGTCCCCAGTTCCTAGTGCGGTGTCTTGCATGTAATAAGCACTTCAACATGCTTATGAATAAATGAAAGGGAAGGGAAGGAGAGGGCCAGTTTGAAGGTGACAAATTAATACTATTTTTTTTTAAGAACACAGTAGGCCGGGCGCGGTGCCTCACGCCTGTAATCCTAGCACTTTGGGAGGCCGAGGTGGGCAGATCACAAGATCAGGAGATCGAGACCATCCTGGCTAACACGGTGAAATCCCGTCTGTACTAAAAATACAGAAAATTAGCTAGGTGTCCCAGCTAATCGGAAGGCTGAGGCAGGAGAATGGTGTGAACCCGGGAGGCGGAGCTTGCAGAGAGCAGAGATTGCACCACTGCACTCCAGCCTGGGCGACAGAGCGAGACTCTGTCTCAAAAAAAAAAAAAAAAAGAACACAGTAATTGCCAGGCGCGGTGGCTCACGCCTGTAATCCCAGCACTTTGGGAGGCCAAGGCGGGCAGATCATCTGAGGTCAGGAGTTCGAGACCAGCATGACCAACATGGAGAAACCCTATCTCTACTAAAGGTACAAAATTAGTTGGGCCTGATGGTGTGAGCCTGTAATCCCAGCTACTCGGGAGGCTGAGGCAGGAGAATCGCTTGAACCCGGAAGGCGGAGGTTGCAGTGAGCTGAGATTGCGCCATTGCATTCCAGCCTGGGCAACAAAGAGTGAAACTCTGTCTCACAAAAAAAAAAAAAAAAAAACACAGTAATTAAACTTTCCTTAAAAAAGAGAATATGATGAGCTCAGAGAAAGGGAACCTCTCCATATAAAGAACGTGAGACTGGCTGGATGCAGTAGCTGACACCTGTAATCCCAATACTTTGGGAGGCCAAGGAGGGCAGATCACCTGAGGCCAGGGGTTCTAGACCAGCCTGGCCAACATAGCACAACCCCGTGTCTACTAAAAATACAAAAATTAGCCTGGCATAATGGCAGGCACCTGTACTCCTAGCTCCTCAGGGGGCTGAAGCAGGAGAATCCCTTGAACCCTGAACGTGGAATTTGCAGTGAGCCAAAATCGTTCCACTGCACTCCAGCCTGGGCAACAGAGCAAGACTCTATCTCAAAAAAAAAAAAAAAATGAGACTGTGAACCACTAATTGCTAATACTGATCATTTATCCCCCCAGATGAAGAGCATGATCTAGAAGAGGATGAGAGTGGCACTCGACGAAAAGGAGGTATAAGAGCTTCTAAATGCACAGCCACTGGGTAGGACATTATGGGGTTCTGATTAGAGAAAGCACCTTTCTCTGAGACTATAAAAATTACTGGACTCAATAATTAAGAGGGTATCTGTGTGTGAACCCCAAAGCCCCAATTAAAGTGACTGGGAAATACCTAAACTTTAAAAGCAGCCATTCATTCACTTTAATTAATGTTCCCAGAACAACCAAGATTTATCCTAGAGAGAGTGGGAAGCCAAACCAGATATTTATTTTTTCCTATCAGTATTTCTTAAATCAGTACAGTGAAAATAGAATTGCCTCATCTCTAAGAGATCAGAGGATTGAGAACGGAAAGAATGGAAATGTCTCCTCTCTGAGAGGCCCAGAGATTGCAAGTTCAGAGGGAAATGGAAATGTGTCAGATCTGAAAAGTGAACACGGGGTGAAAGATAGAATTGCTTGGTGATGCTGACTTCTGATGGCCTGGTTTGATTCCAGGCACATTTGGAAATGAATATGTAACAGGTTTGTTGAATATAAAATTACATCTTATTCATCCCAGACTGTTAACCATGCTTCAGGCTGTTAGTGAGCCCATCCTTTCAAAGGTCAGATGCCCCTCTGAAGCCTCCTTAAGTGGACCAAGGACCTAGTCCATGGTTGTCAGTAAAGGAATGCTGCACATTGCAAGGGCCACCTCAAGGACATTCGTTCCATCAGCAGAGCCCTAATCATGACTGATTTAGATACTGGCTGATATTTTTCTTAGGGAGTCTATGAAAATCTTAAGCCTAGGAATTTTTGCCCTCTTTCCCTCCCTGCTCCTTCTCTGTTATCTGGCCCTGTCTTTTCCCATTCTCCTCTCTCTTTTCCTTGTGCTTTTTCTTCTCTTCCTTATCCATCCAGCAAAA